GATGAACAGAGTCACGCGGACCAATCAAGTGCTGAGAATCGCACAGACACATTAACTTGCCTGTAAACCATACACTACGTTGTACATTGTACAAACTCCGTTCCTGGTATAGATTTCTCAAATTCAAAGGTATGTTCTCATGAGAACATCAGAGGCTCACAATATTTAAAGTAATAGATTTCTCAAATTCAAAGGTATGTTCTCATGAGAACATGAAAACATCAGATTTCCAATACCGACTGGCATAAAGTATGATAATTAAAAAATAACCAGAAAATTTATTATATGTAGTGATGTGCCATTTATATGATATCTGGGTTTTTAGCGTACAGTGCATATAGTGCGTATAGTGTGTATAACATGTGCAATATGTATAAACTATCTATATTGCAAAATTTCACAAGGAATAATTTTACTTAGAATACAAAAGGCAGTTTCATAAGAAAACTTTTGAGATATGAATTGTTTTATAATTTGTTTTAAAATATTCTAAAATTTTTTTACATACTGTACTATACGCGGCACATCACTAAGTATATTCAAGTATTAATTAATGATTTTGCACACTCGTGCACGATATATAATTTTTATTGACAAAAGTTAACCCATTTAATATTATTGTAAGGTTAGTTTTAAAGCTTAGAGTGGCATAGATTATATTAAAATTTTGCAAGAACTCTTTTGTCTGAACCATAATAATAGGTTTATTAATAAAAATTTAGAGAAATAACAAATATCTGTGTATATGCACACAGTGTACAAATAGCAATTCTCAAATAAATATTTGCTATTTGTTAAATTATTTTAAATATAATATGTAACAATATTGAATAACATTAAGCTATAAACATTGTTTTTAACCATATCGATTTCTTTACTTTATAAAATATTAGTATTTTCAGGAACATTATAGTGATTTTCTGCATATCTAAATTCATTTTCTTGATTATACTCTTGTCTAAGTTTTTCTTCATACAAAATTGGACCACATATTGGCAGGCTATATAGTATTTTTTCAAGCTCATTTATGTCATTTAGTGAAATTAAATATTCATTTTGTTCATTTTGTTCATTTTCAGATCCTTCATAAATCCATCTATTCTCTTTTATAGCTTCAGTTTTCTGTTCTTCATACATCTTGATTCGTTCATTAGCTTGAGAGTTTTGATTATTTTTTTCTAAATTTATAAAGTACTCTAAATATCCTTCAACAGTATCATTTATGATTGCGATTGAATTTTGCTTTAAAAATAAGATAAACTTTCTTTTAATCTTAATTATTTTATCACTTTCTTCTAGCATATCTTTTACACTTTCCTGATAATCATCTATTAATACTTGTCTTATTGCAGCTTTATTTTTGTTTTCATTGATTTGTAATTCTAAACCTGAACTTGCAAGACATTTTTTCTTTGCCAATTTTGCAGTATGAATGTGCAATTTCCATGAACACCCACAGATTTTACATATTCCATTAATTCCTATGACTGAGCAAAACAATATACTAAATTTACTTGCAAATTTAACACGACAATTATCACAACAAATTTTATTACATTTTCGTTGTATGTTATTATCAGTTTGTATATCCTCAGTACACATATTACATATAGTCCTGGAGGACTTTACCATTTCTATATCAAATTTTGTCATTTTAAGATCTTCAATAGCCTTGTTAGATTTTTCTAATTCTAGTTCTATATCTCCTAGATAATTAATATATGATTCAATGCGGGGTTGTATATCTTCAAGAGGTTTTATAAGAAGTTTCACTAATCTTCTAGCATTGTTAAGTGATAGTGTATCTTTTACTTTGTGAGGTGAACGACTTGTAATATGTCGTAAAAGTCTTCTTGATTCTTTTACTGACTCTTCCCAACTATTCGCAAAGGTCTTTATTTCATCTTCAAATTGTACATTGTTTTTAATTGCTGCTAGAAATCTAAATGATTCATTATCAAAACAATATGTTGTATCTCTTTGAACCTTTATTTCAACACCAGAAACATTATAAAGATCATTAAGATATTTTCTAAGTGGTGTTAGTGTGTCTCCTGGACGATAGAATGTTCCTCTAGAGTTGGTAAAGCAGAAAACAATATTATCCTTTGCACTTCTTGCAAGATGTGTTAGCAATGCAAGGATGCAATATTTAAATACTAATGATAATCGTGCATTGTTTGGTTTAAGAAGTATGCATATTCCATTTAAATGTCTATAATGGGAAATGTGTGTCAAAATATTTTCAAAATTTTTCGCATCTTGATCTATGCCTCTAGTATCCCCAATTCCAGGAGTATCAATCAATTTTATAGCTTTGTTAGCTGCATGAAATACATAACATTTACAACCCTGTGTAGCTGATGTTCCTATATTTTCAAATTGTTCATTTTGATCATTTTCGCCTATTGCTATTGTTTTCTCATCATAATTGCTATCTGTTATTATGAATTTAGATGGTATCAATACCTTCATATTTCCAGATCTTGCCTGCTCTAATGACTCAAATATAAGATAATTCGCAAAAGCATTAATAAATGTAGATTTTCCCACTCCTGTTTCACCAAGCAACAATATATTTATTTCCTCATCATCAAAATAATAGTTATCATTTGCTGGTCTTCCATTTATATAATGAAGAATAACCGGATAACCAGGCCCTTTTATTCTTGTACATATTTTAAGTTCTGCTATAAAGAATTTGCATAAAATATTATTTGAATCTTTATACAGATCTTGAAATCTAATGTATTCTGGTGATGAATTACCACCAACAATATATTCGTCATTGTCAAGAAGTATATAGATTTCAATGTCTTGATTAATCTGCAGGATGTAGTTAATTGTTTCATCTTTTTTAATATATTCTACATTTTTTGTTTTTAAAGTGAGCATCAAGCTGGCCTTTTCATCTACAGTTTTGTATTTTTTAATAAATGCTAGTATAGAATCCTTGGATAACATGTCATGAAATTTGCATATATATTGCTCGATTTCACTAATATCACTTTTTCCAGAGCGTACTTCAACAAGACAATCAGCAAGTTCTTTCCTAATATTTGTCTCTTCTATTTCAATATGTCGCACATATTTTTCTATTTCATCAAAAGTATCATTAGGTATATGATCAGAGATTAATTGTGCATCGTTATATAAATCATTTAGCTTTTTTTTAGATTTCAAAAAATCATCAAAAACTCGTTCTATTCTTAAAATTGTTTGTTCATTTAATTCTACTATCATATAGTTAATAGTAATATTTTGTTTGAGTTGTCTTGCAAGTTTGGACAAAGGATAAAGTTTAAGTTCGATTGGAACACCTTTTCCGTTATTGTACTTTTTAATATATGACGGAAGTTCAGCCATGATTTTTTTTGCGTCATCGAAGGATTGAGGGAGGCTTTTATCATCAGGAACAACATCACCAAAAATCTTAATAGAAAAGTGGTCAATAATATCAGATCGTTCTTTTTCGACATTTAAAAGAGTCTCTCCAGAGACAGGAATATATGGTGAAAGCTTTTCAAGGTTAGCCTTAAGGATGCCACTAACTTGCGATACATTTTTTTCATTTACATTTTTATGTTCAAATGATGCAACCATAGTGGATCCCCACTTTATTCCTGTAACAACATGTGTAGCGCCTGGTACTCCAAGCGCATCCATAGAAAAACATGTCAAAATATCACTGTGATTTATATTTAAATTTTCCTCTACTGACGACAATTTGTATATTAGGGATCCTTTCACGGATTTAAACCCATTTTTTGTGTTGCTTAAATACTTTCCCGATCCCTCCAAGGTAAACAAACCTGAAAGAACACTTATTCTCAATTGAGCTTCAACATCTAGCATACTAAATTTTTCTTTATATGAATCTTCGTATTCATACTTTAGGTCAGTATGAGGTATATCTATTCTTTTTATAATGCCAAGTGGTGGTTCTTTTTTAAATATTGAGGGTCCACAAAAGATCTCTCTCGTAACATCGTAGAGAAGTCCAATTTCAGCAGCTCTTCCCAAAGCTTTTCGTTGAATTATATTTTCTGAGGCCGCCATTGTTACGTGGATACTGTCACTTGTCTATTTAGTATTTATGAAAATTTCATTTATATATACAGTATACCGATACACATTCATTTGTGACACTTAGTAATATAGAGTGTGTTCATTTTGAACTATATTCTTGATTTCATTTGCACCATATGTACTGCTATACTAGGAATTTGAAAACCAGTTTTATTCCGGTGATTATGATATTTTTTTGCACAAAATACAAATACAAACACATGGCGTTACAAACAGAAATTTTTGAAACTACTTTTTTGATACTTTTATTGTAAATGCATCAAAACTGTAATTTTGGTTATCAAGATGCATAAAAATGAGTCTTCTATTCCGCTCCGGGCAATAACGATAACGAATTTAATATTACCTTTTGCGAAAATTGATTTACTGAAATATTCTGTTTTTTTTTGTTTTTTTTTTTTGGTTTACAAAACTAGTTTTTGATTTTTTTTTTTTTTCTTTCTTCAATGTGTGTCCGCTACAATTCCTTTTAACTAAAACAGAAAAAAGCTTATCAAGAGTACTACGTAGTGACAGGCAAAACGGCGAGTCAGTCGCTTCTCAAACTGGTATGTAGTGTAACCTACAAGTCGGGCTTAATCGAGGAGGCGTGTTATATTTGGCGAGTGTATAGTTATGATTGTAGGTATGGTTTTTACTATATAATTAAACAGGGAATTGTTAGGAGCGAATTTATGATAAGCACTAACTGAACTGTTCTTGGAGGGCTCGAAGCCTTTATTATATAGTTTCATTTACATAGGACACGTTATAAACTTTATTCGTGATATACCGTTTATACTACTTATAACGGTTATGCTAATTATACTGATGATAATGTTTATACTGATTATTTTAATTATACCCTTGATCCCACTGATATCCATTATTCATCCGATGCATAGGATACAGGGTATTGACACGAGCGAAACGGCGAGTCAGTCGCTTGTCGATGGGATATATCGTGTAACCTACGAAC